ATATGTATTCTTTGGTTTAGATTGGTTTGGTTTATTTTGTTTTACAGCAGATCAACCTCAATGGGTTATTTAATGCCGACAACATTTTTAGGATGGATTCGTATGAATAGAATATGCATTCTTTGGTTTAGATTGGTTTGGTTTATTTTGTTTTACGGCATATAAACTTCCATGGGTTATTTAATGCCGACAAGATTTTTAGGATAGATTCGTATGAATAGAATATGTATTCTTTGGTTTAGATTGGTTTGGTTTATTTTGTTTTACGGCATATAAACTTCCATGGGTTATTTAATGCCGACAAGATTTTTAGGATAGATTCCTATGAATAGAATATGTATTCTTTGGTTTAGATTGGTTTGGTTTATTTTGTTTTACAGCAGATCAATCTCAATGGGTTATTTAATGCCGACAACATTTTTTAGGATGGATTCATTATGAATAGAATATGCATTCTTTGGTTTAGATTGGTTTGGTTTATTTTGTTTTACGGCATATAAACTTCCATGGGTTATTTAATGCCGACAACATTTTTAGGATAGATTCGTATGAATAGAATATGTATTCTTTGGTTTAGATTGGTTTGGTTTATTTTGTTTTACGGCATATAAACTTCCATGGGTTATTTAATGCCGACAAGATTTTTAGGATAGATTCGTATGAATAGAATATGTATTCTTTGGTTTAGATTGGTTTGGTTTATTTTGTTTTACGGCATATAAACTTCCATGGGTTATTTAATGCCGACAAGATTTTTTAGGATAGATTCGTATGAATAGAATATGTATTCTTTGGTTTAGATTGGTTTGGTTTATTTTGTTTTACAGCAGATCAACCTCAATGGGTTATTTAATGCCGACAACATTTTTAGGATGGATTCGTATGAATAGAATATGCATTCTTTGGTTTAGATTGGTTTGGTTTATTTTGTTTTACGGCATATAAACTTCCATGGGTTATTTAATGCCGACAAGATTTTTAGGATAGATTCGTATGAATAGAATATGTATTCTTTGGTTTAGATTGGTTTGGTTTATTTTGTTTTACGGCATATAAACTTCCATGGGTTATTTAATGCCGACAAGATTTTTAGGATAGATTCGTATGAATAGAATATGTATTCTTTGGTTTAGATTGGTTTGGTTTATTTTGTTTTACGGCATATAAACTTCCATGGGTTATTTAATGCCGACAACATTTTTAGGATGGATTCGTATGAATAGAATATGCATTCTTTGGTTTAGATTGGTTTGGTTTATTTTGTTTTACGGCATATAAACTTCCATGGGTTATTTAATGCCGACAAGATTTTTAGGATAGATTCGTATGAATAGAATATGTATTCTTTGGTTTAGATTGGTTTGGTTTATTTTGTTTTTACGGCATATAAACTTCCATGGGTTATTTAATGCCGACAAGGTTTTTAGGATAGATTCGTATGAATAGAATATGTATTCTTTGGTTTAGATTGGTTTGGTTTATTTTGTTTTACAGCAGATCAACCTCAATGGGTTATTTAATGCCGACAACATTTTTAGGATGGATTCGTATGAATAGAATATGCATTCTTTGGTTTAGATTGGTTTGGTTTATTTTGTTTTACATATAAACTTATAAAATGCCGATGGATTATTTAATAGATTCGTATGAACAAGATTTTCTTTGGTTTAGATTGGTTTATTTTGTTTTGAATAAAGAATATGTATTTTTTGGTTAGAATATGATTCTTTGGGTTTGGTTTATTTTGTTTTACGGCATATAAACTTCCATGGGTTATTTAATGCCGACAAGATTTTAGGATAGATTCTTTGGTTTAGATTGGTTTGGTTTATTTTGTTTTGAATATAAATATGGGTTATTTTGCCGACTTTTTAGGGTTTAGAATTGGTTTGGTTTATTGGTTTGGTTTTTTGTTTTACGGCATATAAACTTCCATGGGTTATTTAATGCCGACAAGATTTTTAGGATAGATGGTTTTATGAATAGAATATGTATTCTTTGGTTTAGATTGGTTTGGTTTATTTTTTTTTACGGCATATAAACTTCCATGGGTTATTTAATGCCGACAAAGATAGATTTTTGAATAGAATATGTATTCTTTGGTTTAGATTGGTTTGGATTTTGTTTTACGGCATATAAACTTCCATGGGATTCGTATGAATAGAATATGTATTCTTTGGTTTAGATTGGTTTGGTTTATTTTTGTTTTACGGCATATAAACTTCCATGGGTTATTTAATGCCGACAACATTTTTAGGATAGATTCGTATGAATAGAATATGTATTCTTTGGTTTAGATTGGTTTGGTTTATTTTGTTTTACAGCAGATCAACCTCAATGGGTTATTTAATGCCGACAACATTTTTAGGATGGATTCGTATGAATAGAATATGCATTCTTTGGTTTAGATTGGTTTGGTTTATTTTGTTTTACGGGCATATAAACTTCCATGGGTTATTTAATGCCGACAAGATTTTTAGGATAGATTCGTATGAATAGAATATGTATTCTTTGGTTTAGATTGGTTTGGTTTATTGGTTTTTGTTTTACGGCATATAAACTTCCATGGGTTATTTAATGCCGACAAGATTTTTAGGATAGATTCCTATGAATAGAATATGTATTCTTTGGTTTAGATTGGTTTGGTTTATTTTGTTTTACAGCAGATCAACCTCAATGGGTTATTTAATGCCGACAACATTTTTAGGATTGATTCGTATGAATAGAATATGCATTCTTTGGTTTAGATTGGTTTGGTTTATTTTGTTTTACGGCATATAAACTTCCATGGGTTATTTAATGCCGACAAGATTTTTAGGATAGATTCGTATGAATAGAATATGTATTCTTTGGTTTAGATTGGTTTGGTTTATTTTGTTTTACGGCATATAAACTTCCATGGGTTATTTAATGCCGACAAGATTTTTAGGATAGATTCCTATGAATAGAATATGTATTCTTTGGTTTAGATTGGTTTGGTTTATTTTGTTTTACAGCAGATCAACCTCATTGGGTTATTTAATGCCGACAACATTTTTAGCATAGATTCGTATGAATAGAATATGTATTATTTGGTTTAGATTGGTTTGGTTTATTTTGTTTTACGGCATATAAACTTCCATGGGTTATTTAATGCCGACAAGATTTTTAGGATAGATTCGTATGAATAGAATATGTATTCTTTGGTTTAGATTGGTTTGGTTTTATTTTGTTTTACGGCATATAAACTTCCATGGGTTATTTAATGCCGACAAGATTTTTAGGATAGATTCGTATGAATAGAATATGTATTCTTTGGTTTAGATTGGTTTGGTTTATTTTGTTTTACAGCAGATCAACCTCATTGGGTTATTTAATGCCGACAACATTTTTAGCATAGATTCGTATGAATAGAATATGTATTATTTGGTTTAGATTGGTTTGGTTTATTTTGTTTTTACGGCATATAAACTTCCATGGGTTATTTAATGCCGACAAGATTTTTAGGATAGATTCGTATGAATAGAATATGTATTCTTTGGTTTAGATTGGTTTGGTTTATTTTTGTTTTACAGCAGATCAACCTCAATGGGTTATTTAATGCCGACAACATTTTAGGATGGATTCGTATGAATAGAATATGCATTCTTTGGTTTAGATTGGTTTGGTTTATTTTGTTTTACGGCATATAAACTTCCATGGGTTATTTAATGCCGACAAGATTTTAGGATAGATTCGTATGAATAGAATATGTATTCTTTGGTTTAGATTGGTTTGGTTTATTTTGTTTTACGGCATATAAACTTCCATGGGTTATTTAATGCCGACAAGATTTTTAGGATAGATTCCTATGAATAGAATATGTATTCTTTGGTTTAGATTGGTTTGGTTTATTTTGTTTTACAGCAGATCAACCTCAATGGGTTATTTAATGCCGACAACATTTTTAGGATGGATTCGTATGAATAGAATATGCATTCTTTGGTTTAGATTGGTTTGGCTTATTCTGTTTTACGGCATATCAACCTCAATGGGTTATTCAATGCCGACAACATTTTGTATTACTGGTAATATTTTGTTTTGTCAAAAATCTGTATCTGGTAATATTTTTTTACTTCAAAATCGTGTTGCTTGTAATATTATTTTTCAAAAAATATTACTGCTAATATTTATTTATTTGCCCATAGCTGGGAGCCTAACAGGTGCTACCGCCATGGGTGAGTGAGTTGGATCTGGGAACACCAGCAATTAATAGATACTTCCAAGCTCCTCAAAACCTCCTGATCAGAGGTCTTTGCACTCGGACGTACTTTATCGTCTTACCCAGGACGCAGAAGTATTTTATCGTCTTATTCAGGACGCACGCACATTGTAGGGCACCACTCTCGTTATCCACTTATTCCTATGTCTTCTTCCCACGAATTCCTGCATTGTGGAACCGACTCTCAAGCGGATAATTCCACGATCACTACAATCTTAACCTGGCCTTCTACATGATGAAGCTAACTTATAATACCTCTATGGGGAAAGATTTTACTAGGAGGGAAAGGAAATGAGTATACTTTAGTGATAAGAAAGGAAATTAACAGAACAGTATTCAGCAAGACATAATATGGAGACTGGCATTGCCTTCACATTCTTTAAAGTTTGTAAGCGACAAGGAAGAAAATCGGGAGGGATTTCCATAAGAGAAAAGAGCTCTTCAAAATAGAACTTACAGTTGAATCTAGCTATAGACCTATTTACTAAACTAATAGTACGCCTAACTAGCCGTCAAAAAAGTCACGATCAGGCCAGGCTAGGCTAGGCCAGGCTAGGCTAGGCCAGGATCGGTCACCTCCTCTTGAGTTTTGTTTGAGGGGGAAACGTGAAAATTAATCATAAACAGGACATTTCGCTTCGTTTGTTGGTGAGATTAGGAAAATAATATTTCATTAGTGTTTCAAATGTGATGGACTCACTCCTCAGCTTGCTTTGTAAGTCTGAAATTCAAAAGCTTTTATTTTACACAGGCACGAACATCACCCATTGAAAGAGATAATAGAAAGAAAGAAAGAAAGAAAGAAAAAGAAAGAAAGAAAGAAAGAAAGAATGTGAAATGAAAGATAAACGTGAATAAAGAAAATACAAAACAAATATAAATAAAAATGAAATGGATAGAAGTGAAAGAATGAATTAAGTAAATAAAGGAGCGGTATGAAAGGAAGAGAGAATGAATAAATGAATGAATGAATAAATGAATGAATGAATGAATGAAGCTATATGAAATAATGAAATAATATAATGAAAAAGTGATTGAAAGAAGGTAATAATCTGAAATGAAGCATAGGAAAGAAAAGAGAAAAGAAAGTACAAAATGAATGAAAGAAGTAAGCTATATGAAATCAACAAAAAAGAATGCAGGAAAAAAAAATAAATGAAGATGTGATAAAAAAAGAAGAAAGAAGCGATATGAAAGAAATGAAAAAGAAGCGATATGAAAGGAAGAGAGAAAAAAGAAAAAATGAATGAAAGAAACTATATGTAATGAACAACGGAAGAATGAAAAAAAAAATGAAAAATCAATAAATAAATGGTGTGATAAATACATAAATAGAGAAAGAAAGAAAGAAAAATTCTAGAATGAAATTCTAGAAAGAAAGAAAAATGATATGAATGAAATGGAAAAGAAGCGATATGAAAGGAAGAGAGAAAAAAGAAAAAATCAATGAAAGAAACTATATGTAATGAACAACGGAAGAATGAAAAAATAAATGAAAAATCAATAAATAAATGGTGTGATAAATAAATAAATAGAGAAAGAAAGAAAGAAAAATTCTAGAATGAAATTCTAGAAAGAAAGAAAAATGATATGAATGAAATGAAAAAGAAGCGATATGAAAGGAAGAGAGAAAAATGAAAAAATGAATGAAAGAAACTATATACAATGAAAAAAAGGAACAATGAAATAATAAATAAAGTAAAAGCGATATGAAAGAAAGAATGAAATATATAAGATGAAATGGATTAAAGAGAAAACGAATATGGTTATCCAAAATAGGATAAAATGACATTAGATTAGGGAAAAAGAATTCGAACAACAGAAAGAGAATTCCAAAAGGAAATAGGGAGAGAAAAAAAAACAAAGTAAAAACAGGATTCAAACGATAAAGGGTAAAAGAAGGATATACATAGTCACTCCATGGATTAGGCGCAAAAAGCCATCAAAATGTCGGCTTCTATTCATCATTGAATAACGGAATGCAATCTTCAGCAGCAAATGACTTGAAAATGCCTATTTTCAATTTAGGTACATGCGCTGCCAATTTACGCAGCAGAAAAAAGGGGAATAGCTAAGTGATCAAGGGTTACCTGCCTTCAATCGCCATCAAATCGGGGGACACTGCTAAGCATATATAAAAATTGTCAGATTTTATTATGTAAAACAACGTTTTGTTAATAAATGTGATTCACTCAAGGTTTTTATTCGATAGAAACATAAATCTTTTTTTTTTATATTTAAAATAGCGTTAACGCTTATAATTACAATCATTAGGGACAAAAAGAAAAGAAAAAGATTTTATGATTAAAATTTTCTCTCGTCAAAATATCCACCTTTAGTCTTTATTACTGCAGCACAAATTTTTGTCATTCGTTGCAAAAGTTTGCCAAAGTATAATTTGATAATTGGTGACATCTTTTTTCTTTGACTCTAAGAACTTGTTTTTCTTTTATTTTTTCATTTTTGGAATAGAAAGTTTTCAGTTTTCTGTCAATTTCATAGCATTATATTTCTTGCGGTGGCGGTTTAAACTGTAGTATGAATGTATATAAATATATATATATATATATATATATATATATATATATATATATATATAGGTAGATAGATGCACACACTCACATATATATATATATATATATATATATATATATATATATATATATATATATATATATATATAATTCATTATGATAATTTTGTTAATCCATAGGATAACTCCAAAAGTTTATAGATCCAGGGAGGTAATTCGTCTGTGTATTTTCTGTGGAAATAACGACAGGGTAGTGAAAAGCTTCCGAGGGGAAAGAGTTGTAATAATTTGTCCCCCACATGTATGTGGAGATACTTTTGGGCTCTATCAATACTGGAAAGTGCAAACTGGGCAGCTCCTGATAATATATTACAACAGTACTCTGTTTTTCCTGGATGATAGCAAACATTCAAGTCCCCAGTTAAGATGAATGTTGATTATTTCTACGCTAATGAAAACTATCGGCAGATATTTGCAAAAAATATTCTTAATATTTAAGAGATAAATTTCGTATCAGGTGTTCAGTTTCATTGTATAATTAAAATGTCACTGTATCCTGAAGGTAAATAACTTTAAAAATGGCAATAATTATCGCAAATACCACTAAAATATGAAGACGGGCCGACTCGGATATAAATCTAGTTAGGATATGTCGACGTGTCTATATCGATATGTCCTTTATCTTTTGCTATAACAAAAGAAAATTTCCTTTAGAAATACGTTTTTATGAAGTCCTGTAAAGGTAGGGTGTTGGGACAATGAAAAAAAGTGTAAAAATCATAAAAAATGTTAAAAGATTCATCCCTCGGCTTCTTTCAAACAATTGTAATGACATTTATAATAGAAAATATGAATAGCGATTTTTCAACTGTATTTTACACAGATAAATGCTGTGTTATCGTCGATAGGCCATCTGGGTGGAATTAAGGGGGAAATGCCACAAGTTGATAGTATAATATGATGAACATAGCGAGATGATAATTTCCGCAGATATAGTTCAGTATAGTTAATGTGACAGCGCAGACATACACTGATTTGAAGGCACACATGAAGCCGCGGTTCAAGAGGAAATTGTAAACAGAAAAGCGTTTTTTTAAACGATAATACTCCGTTATATTGCCTGGAAAATTTACGAATATCTGAATAAATTGAGTTTGAAAGTTATTAGTTCGATAAATCTGCCGTATTGTTTTCCTGACTTTAAACCGAATCTTATATGCATTGTTCGTTTTCTAAGTATTATCGTTCATTGCCAGCCTTCGTTTGATTATTCTATTCAGTAAACTTCCCTAGCTTAGAAACTCAATGAATACCAAAATTATTTCCAGATAGTATTAAAATTATTAGTATCAACGTTGACATTTTCTGTGTTTTCGTTTCCAAAATTATATTTTCAGTAAAAGTAATTTTAAGGAAGATATATTGATTTACTAAGCATAGCTTAAATGTGGCGCTAGGAGAACCCAGTGAGGATCCATTTCACTAGCCAGTCGTAACTGTTCTAGTAAGACATGCTTGCTAACCGTTACATAACGTTGAAGTACACAAGATATAGTCTGACATAAATAATAAATACTATATTAAATATACGTAACATTCATAGTGTAAATTGTTTTTTTTCTTTCTGAATGCCTTCAATAGGTTTCTAAAACTTAGTAAATATACAATCATTAAATAGATGAGATGCCCTGTAGATATTCTTTCATATTAAATGTTTACAGCCAAAATACATTATCAATATCATGGATAAGGATAGACATTACAAGCTGAATTTCTTTTGGTATAATGAATCCATTATTTATAAGTTCATCCTTAAAACATCAGGTATGGAATACCAATTTTATTGTGAAAACAGTCTACATAATCTGATTTATATATATATATACATATATATATATATATATATATATATATATATATATATATATATATATAAAAAAAAGAGGAGTGCAAACGTTTTTGGTTGTAATGTGGATTTATTGAGAAAAAATATTATACTTTGTTTTACATAATTTCACGACACGTGTTTCTGGTCTGGTCTCAACCGTCTTCAGGTGAAAGTGGAGATTTTTACATATTATTAAAATAATTAATTTTTCTTCATGTTCAATGTGGAATATTCTCGATATGAGACATTCTGTTTGTGTGTTGGCAATCCGAATTTTCTTTCTAGAATTTACGATTCTTTCTAGTATTTACGATTCCAATGGAATAAATTATGACCATGGAATATTAGTGTTTAAGCTTTTTTATTATATATATATATATATATATATATATATATATAATTTATAGTTTTGATGAATTTGATCGTAATTACGACTCCAATGTAATAAATTATAACTATGGAATATTAGCGTTTAAGTCTTTTTATGATCATATATATATATATATATATATATATATATATATATATATATATATATATATATATATAAACTAGCAGCCATACCCACCTGGTCGATCAGAAAAAATCGTTCAATTAGAATGGAACAAAAGCAGCATTATGTTTAGATGTAATAGAGTCTATCTTCTTCAATTAGTTTAAAGTACTTTCATTAACAAAACATTTGAATTAATGCAGTTACTGATATAACAGAAGTAGTCTGTATTTATTCAATTGAAGTTAGCCGAGGTCATGAAGGGGTGAAACAGTAAACTTTAAGACCCACTTCAGACCACATTTATTTTGGAGTTTTTGAAATTCAATTTATCACTGTATTACCAGAGATGTAAAAAAGGATACATTTGTAAAGTAATCATTAAATTTGATGCAAAGTGGTTGAAAGATCATTGAAAATAAGAAAGAAACCTGTAAAAATACCCACTTTTCGCTATTTGCACGTGTTTTCACTATATCAAGATAAATGTCTGTTAAACAATCAACTTATTGTTGGTTACAGTTGAATGAATTTTGTATCAGATTGCTTGAGAATTTAGGCAGATTTTAGTTTAGAATTTGTTTTGAAATCAATTTTTTTCCGGATTTCCGCAAAACGTAGTAGCGTAGAACTAAAAATGAGGTATCATTGAGCTCCCCATGATGTAAGTAACTTACATACAAAGTTTGAACGAAATCGGAGGAAAAATTTGAATTTATCGATTTTGATCAGTTTTATCGATTATTGGAAATTATCGAATTTTTACGCTAAGAACCTATCGCTTACAATGTAAAATGCATATGCCAGGTTTGGTCGAAATCGGTTGGATGGATCTCGTGTGAAATG